CCACCACGGCAGCCCCACTGTTCCACAAAGTGTTGGCTAATTAGTGCAGCAGATCATCCCACACTTCAGTGCTCTAGTGGCAATCTCCACTGAGCTCTCCAATGTCCACATCGTCCCTCCAATCTTTATGAGACCCAAAGTGTTGATTAGACCCAACGGACATGCCTCGGTGCAATTTGATTTGGCCTGTTGGCTTTACTGCCTGAGCTCAAGCGTTTATTGGAAGTGCTAAGGAACACCATAAGATGCGCATTGAATGCGGAGTAGGTGGGGTTGGAAATTGAACAACTTCTCTGCCCCAGTATTCGTTTCAATTACATTATTCCAATGAAAGTTCACTAAAAGATAAACTCATCATGTTCTGGAAGGTTAATGTCAAGTTTGCTTTACGTCTCAGCAGCGAAGTTGTGCACATTTGACAAGTTGACTGGTGCCAACTTCTGATTACTTGCTCTCCTACTTTTGCTAATTATTTTCACATCTATGGGGATGAATTTGTGATGTTGGAGCACAAACGCACACTCGTAGCCCCTACTCGTGGTACTCAGCGCCTGAAATGCCAGCTGTACTCTTTTTCGCATCAATACATTCCACTTTACTTCACGGTGGCCATTCTGGTGACTTGTCATTTCGCTTAAGTGTGCGCTCAACTACGTGAGCACATCAGTGTCCGTAGGCTGCAATCTTGCCCTGGAACATAGTCTTTGCACTGGATTACAAGGCCCCTTCATTTCTTCCAGTCTTCCCCACTATTTTGTCCTATTACGAACACGGATACGACTCAGGGCGCTGCACTACTCTGTGTCCTCAACTGCGGAGGCAGCGGACTTGACAGACAGAGGTATTCGCGTTAAATCACCCACAATCACCACCCATCTTCCCACCTTAACGGAGAAGATGCATAAAGTGTTTGAAAGACTCCCCAGCTATGCTAATGAAGTCAGTGCTTTGATTCGACATCGTTAAATTTGATAACCATTTGGTAGAAGTGTGAAAATTATGCCCCAGAAAATTAATTATTCTAAATTTTGCTGTTTTCCAGCTTAGGTTGATTTAAATCCTGAACCAAAGAACCTGAGCAGTAGTTTAACAAAACGAAGGAGTTTTCTGAGGTGTGAAAATCAAATTGTACTGCATCTCTCCTTACTTGCACACAGCTTGTCTGTAAAAAGCTTTTTGCAAATGGTTTGATGTGGATAAGTGAACACGGGCAAAATCCCAACATTTTGAATGTGCTGGGAAGTGAAGTTAAGGAGGAGAACGTGAAAATAATTGACCGGCTTGCGATTTAACTGTAAGATTGTAACGAATACCATTCAAAAATGCTCCCTGCTTGTCCATTTTGCTATTTGCTAGAGGCAACTTCAAAACCCCATTGGGCGTTTGACTGAGCTTAAATTATTGTGGTTTATGTTAGTTTTGTTTACTTCTAAATGCACCCTCGTGTGCCCAAGCCATGGGGACGGATAGCAGTCCTCCCTTCTGTCAAGTTCAATGGAGCTGTGGCCGGTTCCACCCACTCAGTGGAATTGGCCACAGAATGTCTTATATCTTCAAATTCACTAGTCTTTTGAGCCAAATTGACAGGAAAGTGGATTAATAAATTTTAGCCATTCTC